AGGAGAGACAGCTTCTTGATAGATACAACAAGATTTGTGATATTCTTGGTCTCGAGGAGGTATTAGCTGAGTTGCAGCAATGACTTCCTAACATAGAAACTAATGTAGAAATACATAAAGGTCACCTTGTAACACTTTAAATCTCATAGACAAGAAATATTTTTGCTCATTTTTCTTGGTATCAAACTAAAAAGTTAATCAGGCATTAAGTATCAAAGTCTTAGAAATTACAGAGGATGTGTGCAATTATTTATCTTTAAATGTGGTCTTTGCATCATTATCAACAATTCTGAATAAAAAAGGAAACACCCACCTTACTTCAAAATACAGTTTTGGTGAATAAGTTCAGTCAATGGAACACAAGGAAAGAATAATGGTATCCAAAATTATTAAGAGTGCTGATACAGATATTGACATGGAAGTGTGTTGAGGGTAGAATATTAAATGAAAAATACAAGCTGCTAAATTTTCATATTTTTGCAAAACAACTGTCTTGTCTATTAAAGTGTACCTTCCCCCTCATGTTTCAGCATCTCTGAAATTAGGATGCCTGTAGGATTTACTGCCGTTATCAGTGCTGTTGGGCAGCCAGCAGATGATGTAACTGTCATCGATGAGAACTCAGTGATTGCTGGGCATGGTGTCAGCTCACTGCGTTATCTGCACTGTTGGTACAACATATTTTGAGTTTGCCATTGAAAATGTCTTCCAAGATTACACTATGATTCAGCATTGAAACAAAGTTATTTTCTGCAGAAGCTTGAAAACAAAGTAGAGGGAACTAAATTAGATTTTAGTGAAACAAATTTTCTTTTTTGTCTTGGAGAAATAATCACAGTTCTATATTGTCTTGCAGAACAGCATGTCCCTTACAGAACCCGAGAGAAAGAGACTCACAAGTAGATGAAGGGATGTATTTTGTTTCTGAGAAATGTACAGAAGGATTGCTGATGACAAGCCAAGGAAAGCAACCTAAGACAACTTATTTCTGGGCCTGTGAACCAGGGACAGGGAGGGCTGAGGCAGAGCTAGGGTAGGGCGTCCAGCCGCCATCTGGGGACTCTGGCTGCCTTGTCCATCCTGTTGGTTCTGGTCCAACCCGGGCTGGGCTCTCGGCAGCTAAAGCCAAAGGCACGGAGAGGTGGGGGAGGCGCCACATGGTGCTTGGAGCTCTCCTGCTTCCCTCCCCAGGGCCAAAGCAGCTATCTGAGCAAGAGGAGAAGGAATGGTCGTGGGCAAGAGGAGACAGACAGGGATAATGCCACCCCTTAATTTGCATTTTATCTGTTATCTGGAACTTGCCCTGGTCACTTGGGAGCCTCAGGCAGAGGGAATCCTTGGGGCTCAGACCAATGGCCAGATTCGCCCTCTGAGCTGGCCCCAAACCTCTGACCCAAGGGTCCTTCTTCCCCAGCAAAGCAAGGAAGGGAGTTCATAGCCACTGGAGTCTATGGTCCCAGATACAAAGAAAGCAGGAGCCATGAAGGGCTGGACCTGTGGTCCTCTCCAGGGTAAACCATCTCATGCCCCTACCAACAGCCAGGTGAATGTCTTTTCTCTCAATATTTTCTCTATCATATCTGCCTAACAACAGAAATAATAATGCTTATTGAGTGCTTACTACGTGCCAGCCACTGTCCTAAGTATTTTATAGACATCATCTCACTTAATCCTCGGGCTTCCCAGGGGGCTCAGTGGTAAAGAATCCTCCTGCCAATGCAGGAGATGCGGATTCAACCCCTGAGTCAGGAAGATCCTCTGGAGAAGGAAATGGCAACCCAGTCCAGTATCCTTGTCTAGAAAATTCCGTGGACGGAGGAGTCTGGCAGGTTACAGTCCGTGAGGTCGCAAAAGAGTCAGACACGACTCAGACACACGCACATTTAATCCTCACCGTAGTCTGGGAAGGTGGAAGGTAGGTGTTATTTTCTGAATTTTAGAGAATAGCAAATTTAGGTTCAAGTTCACCCAACAAGTGCAGGAACAGGATTCAAGCTTCAGGTTCTCTGGCTACAAATCCCCTGCTCTTAAGCACTACCCGCAGTACATCTCTCTGAATGAAGACCCCTGACCGGAGCTGTCCCCTCCTGACTAGCCCCACTACTGCTGTTTTACCCCTGCTCCTTGGAACTGCTTCCTCTCTCCGCTTCCCACCTGCACATCAAGCAACTAGCAGAGCCAGCCCACACTCTCTCACCATCTCCTGCGCCCACAGTGGGCGCTCGGTCCTGGGCAACTCCCAGGATCCCTTGTGCCTCCAGCCCAGAACTCAGCTATGTGAGCCTCCCATGATCCTTGATGCCCCCCCACAATCCTCTGTGTCCCCCAGCCTGGATCTCAGCCTTGTGTGCCTCCCCCAATGCTTCTGTGCCTCCCATGATCCTTGGTGCCTCCCACAATCCTCTGTGCCCCCCATGATCCTTTATGCCTCCCATGATCCTCTGTGCCCCCCACAATGCCCTGTACCTCCAGCCTGGATCTCAGCCTTCTGTGCCTCCCCCGATCCCCCTGTGCCTCCCATGATCCTCTGTGCCTCCCATGATCCTCTGTGCCCCCCACAATCCCCTGTGCCTCACAGCCTGGCTCTCAGCCTTGTGTGCCTCCCCCAATCCCTCTGGGCCCCAAATTAGCAGATACTGTTTCCTAAATACCACCTTGGGCCTGCTGGTTCCCTGTGGCTGGCTGAATTAAAGATGCCCTTCTCAGCTTGGCCGCTGAGGTAGGCTGGGACCTCTGTATTCACAGGACCTCTGTATTCTGGCCCAAGCCCAGGTCCAGCTTTCTGAAGTCCCCCTCCCACAGGAGGCTGGCTGGGACCAGGTCTGACACTCCTGCTCTGACAGAGTCCTATGTCTACAGTCCACCGTGCGGACATGCACGTGATCGCAACAGAGATAGTCATTCTAAAGCCATGTCTCTTCAGTGCCATCATGAGCTCCTTGAGGCCTCGCTCTTCACGTGACACAAGCAGTGGTCAATGGTCACTCTCTGTGCTCGAGTCCACTGCCAGGCCAGGATGGGGGCGCTGCAGAAGCACTGCTGCACTGGATGTGGGTGCTAACCACAGTCACCCCCAGGCTGACACTTGGACCGCAGGAGGTGCTAAGGGGGAGCAGGCTGGGACTACGGCAGGAGAGGCACAAGGGGACGGCCTGACATGCCTCGGGGCTGCAGCTCTGACCACAAGGCCACTGACCGAAGAACTGGTCTGGCATCTGACTCAGCGGATTCTGGAGTCAATGGCTCCAGAATAGAAAATAAACTAAGTACCGATTCCATTCTTTGCCTGACTCGAAAAGAAGAGGGAAATGAAAGTAGCTGCAGCCAGGACAGAAAGTAAATGAACTAACTTGACTTTTTAAAACTTCTTTCCATTGAACATTGTTTTATTTATTTATTTTAGTTTTTGTTTATTTTTTAAGTTTTGGGTTTTGTTTTTTTTTTTGGCCACGCCATGAGGCATGTGGGATCTTGGTTCCCTGACCAGGGATCGAACCCGTGCCCCTTGCATTGGAAGCGTGGAGGCTTAACCACTGGACCACCAGGGAAGTCCCTGAACGTCCTTTTAATTCAGAGTAATTCTTGGGTTGATTCTACTGAGACCTAAGTGCGCCAGGAAGTGGGGGTAGAAAAGGAAATAAGAGTGGAGAAAGTTTTGTTGAGAGGTGCTGGTGGAGAGAACTCAGGGGAGACCCGGGTTGGAGGTCAATGTCTGTGAATACCTCCTATGCAACAGGGAAAGACCATGGGGCAGGGAGCAAGGAGAGAAGGGGAAGTGATGACCTACACAAAGTGGAGAACTCTCCAGCAGAGTGGGGTCTAGGAGACACGCTCAAGGAGGGCACAAAAGAGGGAACCACACCCAGAACCTGCACCCTAACTTCTCAGCCCAAGACAGGATCGAAAATGAAATGGAAAGAGAAGGAGCATTGTTACAACGATTCTGTAAGTAGCTCTGAATTTCCTGCCAAGTTTCTATTTCAAGGATTCCACACCAGGATGTGTGTTGTAAACTAGTCCATACAGGCCTTGGCCTTCAAGGAAATTACAGCAGAGATCACCAAACTGGGGTGCATTTGAAATTTTCCGGAGTATGTGGTTAAGACTGGGCCGCCAATCACAATGTGTGTTTTGCACACCACCAAGCGATTCTCNGCGCTTGGCCTGGGCGTTGGGCTCCTTGCAGGAAGGAGTCACAAGCATTACTCCCTTCAAGAAAGGGGGCCCATTGTGAAGTAATTAGCCTCCAACTAATAAAAATAAATGAAAAAAAAAAAAAAAGAAAGGAGGCCCAGAGCTTTGTGGCTGCTGAGATCCATTCTCAGGGAACCCCGCGGAGCCCCAGCAGGGGCTCGCTCTGTCCTTCCACATTCTTGTGTTCACCAGAGTAAAAACGCTCAAGGTGACAGGCTAGTGGGTTGTAAGACACAATGGAGCACCTGGACAGAGGTCATGGACTGGGGCACAAACAGTGTGACGCACAAGAGTTTGTCCCCAGTGCCCAGAATTTTGAGTTACGCTTCGAAAAACAAAGTCACGGGTATTGAAACTCAGCCTCCCTAGGTAGGGAAGCTGAAGAGAACAGCAGAGTTGCCTCCAAAAAAATTGAGCTTCAGGTCCCTGCCTTGACCTGTGTTAGCTATTTTTCTGTTGATTCTTGTTTCAATTTTAAAATCCAGAAATAGCTCAAAGAGGCTCTAAGGATTTAATAATAACAACACTTAACAGGGCTTACTTATTTACCCTGTGCCAGGCACTGTTCTAAGCACTTTATGTATATTAATTCACTAAATCCTCACAATGACTTTATGAAACAGGTACTATTATTCAGACAAATTCATCAATGAGTAAAGTGAAGCGCAGAGAGGTTCAGTACCTCTCTGAAGACCACACAGCTGGAAAGTGGGATGGCTGGAGTCTAAACCCAGGCAGTTTAACCTCAGGGTTGATAACTAGGCTATGTAAGAACATGAGCAAACGAAGAGGCAGAGAGGAAAAGGTACTCAAATGACTATATTTCACTGTTTTTGAAAGATACAGTTTTCCCCCACACTTTACCATCTTGAAAATCTTATGTGTTCATACCTGAAAAATTGCTAGATTCATTTAATTAGGAAATGACCTTGAGGTGGAACTAATTTCTGAATAATTCTTCCAATTCCAATTTGTCTCATCGTTACTGTAATAAACGTAGTTAAAATGAAGCATTTATTGTCCGCCTACTGTGGATTGTGGCTAGCCAAGCCCACACTGGAGCTCTAAATACCAGATGAGCATCAGGCCACACGACGTCCTCTTCTAACCCCCCCCCACCCCCACACACACTGGCTGCACAGGCCTCCTTCCCATTTTGAGACACAGTTGAGCATGTACGTCCCTCTGCCTGGAAATTCTCTTCCTCATGGCTCACTCTTTATTTCTGTCTGTTCTCTGTTCAAATGGTGGGGCCCTGACCATCGCTCTTTCAACTTGGGTCCTTCCTCAAACTCACTACCCGCTTCTGTCTTCATTTTGTTTATGGCTCACCTCCTTTTGGATGTAAACTCCATGGGAGAGGGCATTTCAGTCTGATTTTCTTGGTTGGTTGAGTAGGTTTTGCTTCTGCATACCAAGTATCTAGAATAACACCATGGACATTGTGGCTTTCTACCAATATTTCTTGAGTGAATGAATGGGTGAGGACTCATTGAAGATTCTTGTTCGATGTTGAAGGAAGATTTACTGAGAGTATCTGCTTATCTTCAGAGCAGGCAGGCCATGAGGACAGAGGGGAAGCCAGGTAGAAGGTTAAAGGGCCTGCATTCTACACCTTGTCTCATTAGAAGCCCCGGGGAGTGGCCAACCTTCAGAAAAACTAGGATGAAAACAGAACATTTTGACAGAGTGCTAGACAGCATCTAGATTAATTTTGTGATTTTAAAAAAGTGAAGAAAGAAGAACCGGATGAATGCAAGGCATCAAATCTTGCCTGGATCATAGCTTTTAAAAAGAAAGGAACTCTAAAGGAGATTTTGGAGATAATTGGGAAAATCTGAAAATGAGCTAAACATTAGATGCTATGGGAAATCCCATGGACTGAGAAACCTGGCAGGCTATAGTCCACGGGGCCGCAAAGTGTCAGACACGACTGAGCAACTAAACGACAATTACTGTTAATGTAGCTCTGATCATGCTACTCAGGTTAAACAGAAAACTCCTATTCCCCAGGGACATGTGCTGAAATGTTTAGCTCAGAAGTAGCATGATAAGTTCTGCAACTAGCTTGTAACTGCACTCTGGGAGTACCTACTGCTCACTCAAATGATGACCATCCTCTTTGCCCCCCCAGGAGTCAGGTCCCTGCCCCCACCATGCCGAATGGTGTTCTGAGCCCACTTCCACCGTAAGAGCAGGACCTTTAGTGAGAGAAGGTAGCCGGTGTGGGACTACAATGATGAAACCAGGACTCACTGTCAACATTCTGTGTTTTCACCTGGGTCCTGGATTAGGACATTGGCTTGAAAGTAGCTTTGATTCTCTTTCCCTCACATGGTAAATTCAACTCCCTGGGCCTCTTTTTCTTTACTAGCCCAATAAACAAAACAGTGCGTCAATACAGTTCAAGACCTTGGTAATTTCTCTGTATCCATCTTTGTTTTGCTTCTCTTCATTCATAAAGATGAATTCACCTCCTAGGTCGCCTAAGCTTTCAGAGCCAATGAGACAAGCTAGTATCCTCAGCTCTGCTACAGGGAAGAAACTCAAGGCTCAGAAATATAAAGTGTGTTTTTCAAGGGCAAAAATTTGAATGGTAAAGAATCTCAAATGAGACCCAGGATTTCCAGTTCCCAAACTTCAGCCTTCTTCATGGCAAGAGTTTAGCATTCTTCATTGGAACTGATTACTTTTTTTTTCCATTTCAAAAAGCCTGAAGGCTCAGGCAGGAAGAGAAAACCAGTCTCTCACTCACAGGGGGCGGGGCCTGCTTCCAGCTGCACGGGTGGAAAGTTACCTGATTTTGTTTTTCTGTTTTGCAGCCCGTATCTGAGTACAAATATTAGGGATTTCAGACATGCCACACTGAACTTCAACCTTGCAGGATTCAAATCTAATCTTAAAAGAATGTATCCCCTTTAATTTAAAAAAGAAAAAAAGTCATTTTAAAGCAGCCGAGGCAGAGATTCTGTGATTTGTAGGAAGAAGTTTGTTTTAGGATTATAAATAGGGCAACGTGTACCCTTTCTCTGAAATTCAAAATCCTTGCAAGTACCATGGCTGGGAATTTAAAGGAAGTCATCTGAAAGTTGAATGTTTGTCTTCATTTTGGTTTTCCAAATGAAAGGGAAACTGTCAGCTTTTTGCTGACAGTTTTTTTGCGTCAACTTCCAGAGACCGAGAGAAGCGGTGAAAGTGACCGGGGTGTCCCTGCGGCGAAGCCTGGGAGCCGGGGGCACCTCTCCTGCTGTTTGAAAGAGTATCTATGCGGGAGACTGAGATTCCGTCTCACTGAAAAGGTGAAAAGTCAACAGCAATTTTGAAAAAAAGAAATACGGTTCCTGAAACCAGGAGAAGCAGCTTTTGAAAGTACAATGCAAGTTACCACAGGAGGGTCGGTGAGGCCTCACGGTGAGGCCAGAGCCGGTGAGCAAAGCCGGAGCCTGGGCGACCCCACAGGGCCTGCTCCAGTTCATTTCCCATTTCAGGATGAAGCTGGGGCTTCTGCCATGTGAACGTGCCCTTCTCCACGGGGCCCTAGCCCCCACGGGACGCCCGCCTCCACGGGCCACTGGTCTCTCCTAGGAGCGAGCGCTCAGCTTGACCTCAAGTGGTTGGAGGGAAGGGACCCGAAAAGAGAGGCCACCTCCGGGCTCATTTCTTGCAGTCAGTTCTCAGAAAAGAAAAACAGCCAGAGCGCACTTTGCTTGCCCTCCCACTTTTACCTGAGATGTAACAGGATAACCAAACGGAGGTGTAAGGAAAATGGCAACATACCGGCTAGTGAAGGCTGCCTCCTCTCCTCAGAGGTTCATGAGCTTTGACCAGAATGAGCAGACCTCACTTCAGACGGCATTTATCACTAGAGAGAGTGACAAACAGCTTGCTCTCACAGGGTAGGAAGGCAAAACAACAAAGGGGCCTGAGGAGGCCAAGAAATGATCCGAGACACTAACAAGTACCAGCTGCGGACCCCCTGCATTGGGGCGGGGGAGGGGAGGCAGCCCTGTGGATGTTATTACTTTTGCATGTCTCTTTTTATCTATCTTTTTTAAAAAATTACAGAATCTAAACTCCATTTGTCTTGCTCACTGTTGTGATACCAGAGCTGAGCGTATATAAGGAGGTGCTTAATAATTGTTGGCGAGAATAAGTAGACTGTAACTATGTCAGAACCGATTGGTTCAAGAGAGTCAGACTGGCTTCCAAATGTTGGTCAAGAGTTGGAAGTAGGATGAGCCAAGGGTATGCTTAATAGGCTCCTAGGATCAGCTGACTTTTCTAGAGCTAGAATTCTGAGGAGGTGACAAGGTAATAGACTGCAGTCTTCCTGAGAAGAAGGAGTTAAACAGGTTGAAGCCTGCGTGTCTGAGGGGAATGTGTTCGGCAGGGGTGAGGGCCGTCCAGCGCGGCTTAGCAAGCTTGACCAAAGGTGACGATGACTAAGGGCTAAGGTTGTGCCCTCCCTCCAAATCGATCCTTTAATGTGACTTATCAGAGAAAGAAACTTGTTTACTTTAAACCCCTGGATCCCATAAAGGGAGCAGGGAAAGGCTTAAAACCCACAGACGCTCAGGGCTGGCGCCCACAGCCGCCCCACACAGCCAGCAGAAGGCACATCCCACTGGCAGAGAAGGGGCCCAGGGCAGAGACACACCTGCGCAGACTGGAAGGTAAGTGCCTCCCCACACACTTGCCAGCATCTTCCAATGCCCCTGTGTGATTCAGGCTGTTCCTTTGTTGGGGGGTGGGCAGCGCTAACTTTGAGAAGTGGGGGTGAGGTGCGACCCAGGTGTTTAAAAAGACCCCATGAGCAATGTGTCATGTTCCACACACCACATTTTAATTCATCTGCCATGATTATTCTGTGTCTTCAGAAAGCCTAAGAAAACCAGAGACTTTCCTAAAGATGCTTTTCCCCACCCAGTGGAGGGAAAGAAGATACTTCCCAGGCGGTGCTAGTGGTAAAGAACCCGCCTGCCAGTGCAGGAGATGTGAGAGACGTGGGTTCGATCCCAGGGGTTGGGAAGATGCCCTGGAGGAGGGCATGGCAGCCCACTCCAGTATTCCTGCCTGGAGAATCCATGGACAGAGGAGTCTGGCAGTCTACTGTTTATGGGGTCACAAAGAGTTGGACACGACTGAAGTGACTTTGCACACACACACGGAGGGGTTGTGGACTTTTATTTCTGGCCTCGAAGTGGCTACATATGAAGCCATTTCCTGTTTTATGATGGTCTGATTTAGCAATAACGTAAAGGCCTTTGAACGAGATTCTACCAATAGGATACTAGTGTTAGGACGTTGATTTGACTAGAAACCCTCCCCTTTCCCTTCTTTCAGAGCAAGCATGACCGCAAGGCTCCCTATATTTTGTTCTTCTACTTCTAAAACTCCAACACTGGAATTCTCCCTCTGTCCAACTAGGATTGTTCCCTGGACAGCACTGGAATTAGCTGGGCACCTGCATAGAAATGACACTGGTTCCTAGGAATCCCCAGGCCTCAGCAGTTCTCTTTAAAAAGTCTACTGAGGGACTTCCCCAGTGGCCCAGTGGCTAAGACTCCAAGCTCCCAGTACAGGGCACTAGGGTTCGATCCCTGGTCAGGGAACTAGATCCCACATGCTGCGACTGAGACCCAGTGCAGCCAAACAATATTAAAAAAAAAAGTCTACTGAGACCCCCAACTTGGTTGAGAATTTGCCCGATGATTCTCTCTCCACCTCTGGTTGGTGATAGCGGGCATAATAGATGCGTGCATAAGCTTTCCAGATTCCCCTGATTTCAGGCAGGAGAGGGCAGGAGGAGAAGGGGGAGACAGAGGATGAGATGGTTGGTTGGCATCACCGACCCAATGAACTTGAGTTTCAGCAAACTCTGGGAGATGGTAAAGGACAAGGAAGCCTGGCGTGCTGCAGTCCATGGGGTCGCAAAGAGTCGGATGCAACTGAACAACAACTGAACAAAAGGTGGATTTCAGTGAAAAAAGAAATACTTCCTTGCCCTCTATTGAAAACAGCATTCTATTTTAAAATTTCCATGTGCTTTCAGAATGACAAGACTCACGCATATGCTATTGACTTCTTTTGTCTTCTAGACTATAATAGCCTACAAGACTCAAATTGATGTGTTTAACACATCTATTTGAAATGACAGGAAATGCGAATGTGGAATTTTAAAAAGCACATCTCCGCGTTTCACTTGCTTTTTAAGAATCTTTTTTAGGTGCTGAAGGGGTAGGGCTTGCAACAAAGTGATGCTGCATGGTCCCCAAAGAACTCTTTTCTCAGCCCTCTGGAGTTGGCCCTAGAATGTTCTCAGAACCTGGGAAACAACACGTGAAAGCAGGCCAGGCTGCTCGTGCCCAGATCTGACCCGAGGAAGCACAGAGCGCTTTGTGATATGCTGGGTACTTGTAAATCCAAGACATCTTTTAGGGAGCTGTGATGCACACAGAATACTTAACAGACTGGTGAATTCACTAGAGGATCAAGCTTTGTGAAGGCCTCCTTCTCAATGAACTCTCTGCTTCCTGCCGGTTCCCCACTTAGGAAAAGTAACCCTTAATCCAGTCTCTCTCGATTTTCATACCCGCAAGCTTAACAGGAAAATGGCAATCTGAATTGACCACGGCAACTAGAAACATCTAGAGAATCTGCCTGGGCTGGGAAGGTGAGGGAGGGGAGCCCAGGACATGGCTCAGAAATTTCATTTTAATGAACAGCCGTTTAGTAAGGCCTGGGACTCAGCTTCTCTCAGGAAATCTCAGGAAGTAAGGCTCAAGGAGAGATGGTGGGAGATTTATGGAGCTGAGATCAGAGGAGAGAAATTTAACAAGATCCCCCAAGGCCTTTACTAGCTGTGAAAAAACTGCTGGCATGTGGAGGCATCACCCTGAATTAATTTCCAACCCCTTTGCCTTTAAGGATTCATTTTTTTCACAGGAAATAGCAGGTGTAAGTATTTCCCCACCAGCTTATAAACTACTTTCAGTTTTTCATTAACTGGTGCTATTTAAGTTCAGGGGTTAAATTTGAAACCATGAAAGTTTTTTTTAAACCTGAAGAATGAGAAGTGACTATGTAAATTTTAAAAACTATATCCAAGTAGATCCCGGCATTAACCACTTGCAATTTTTTTTTATTGGCGACATATGATTGGATGGCATTTGAAAAGAATGAGACCATTTGACTGCTTTGCAGGTGGACAGAATTCAACCACTCCTGCAGAAGCCAAAGGAGTAATAAAAGGTGATGGCCGTTATAATTTAAAATTGTTCACAAGGCCAAGAACATAATAGGCACTCAATAAATGTGTTTGATTGATGCCATAATACCATAAAATAATTGTACTGTATAATAAAGCAGTTTGCTAATAATTTGCTAGGAAACTTGCCTGTGCAAGCAAGTCAGCACTAACTTTCCACGCTTGTTGGCAAGCGGGGTAGGAATAGGGTGAATTCTAACCTCCCAATTTTCAGGAGAGTGATCTGCAAGAAGGAATTTTTATTAGGGAATCTACACCCCCCCAAAAAAGGTTCTTAAAGATGTTTTCATTCTAATGATTTTTCTCATTACAAAAGCATTACATTCATTGTAGAATTAATAAATGCAGAGACCCAAAAGGAGAAACAAAACCACACTAATCCCACCACTCAGACATAGCCAGGGTGAAGAGTGGGTGTGTCTGCCCCAGGCATATATACCAGTTTTCACAGAAAGGGCATTTGAAATTGTTTTACAAACTACTTCTTCACTGAATCTCTTTCCAAGTCCTCAACCATTTTTCTGTAACATCACCTTCAGTGACTAGGAGGTATTATAAATATGTCATACTTCTCTTATAATTGGACAGTTGCTTGCAGCTTTTACTGTTATAGACAGTGCCCCTGTGGACAACCTGATAGGTAAACCTTTCTACAAATGGGCAGAGAAGAAAATCTTTTCTACAGATTTGAGGACTTTTTCCTGGCCATGAATTTCCTGGACCAAAGAAATTGAGGTTTATTTAGAGGAGGCGATACCATTAACACACTCTCTGCCTCCTCTCTTCTCTTCCCTGTTTACGCTTCTACCTTCTGTCTTTTGCAGGTTCATGAAGGACTGAAGCACACGGGGCTCCCCTGGAGACGTGGAGTGAGGTCAGACACTTGCTGAGAGGCTCTGAGGAGTGAAATGACCTCTGGAGTCTGTCTGGTAGGACACCTGAGGGTGTCCTACCAGGACCTTTGCCACTAGTGACTGAGTCTTTCCAACAGAGCTAAGATTTCTGCAGCCTCTCAGCATGATCGGTACGTCCCTGGAGTGACTGGGAAGAGGGGTTTCTGTTCTATGTCCCTCAGGCAAAGACAAAGCAGATGAACCCGGCTTAGTCATCAGGAGAGGGGAGAAACCAGAGATGGTTAATCACACGAGCAGCCGCACCCAGCGAGCCGGGGGTTTGCGGCAGCAGTCGGGGTGAGCTGGGACTCTAGAGCCGTCTGCAGTGGGGCCCTGGGAGCAGTGCCCAGGGGCAAAGAGCAGACCTCACATGGGCCGGGGGGGACTCTGCTGACGCTCTGCACCCTGCAAAGGTGATCCGGGGTCTCAGACAGGAACCAAAGGAGGTCAGTCCTTAATGGAAAGAGAGCACATCAACACAGTAAAAAAGAAAAGAAAAAAAAAATACGGTGATGTTGTACACCCAAAACGAACGTGTTCTGCATCTCCATAAAATTGGAAAGGAAAAAAAGAGGCAGAGATCAACATTCTGACCCCATAGAAGCTGAGTGGCTTTCATGGTATGCTCACAACCACACGGCCCAGGCTGAAGAGGGCTGTTTCAAGGCCTGCCTCTGAATAAGGGGCATTTTTACTGGAAAAAAGAAAAATACAGAAGGGTTCATTTCCCAGTTACTAAGAATGGGTTGATTTTATGCCCAAAGCAAGGCTCTGGTTAACAACTCAGTTATCCTGGGGGAAAGAGTAAACTGGCCTCCATCCTTTTCCATTCCCAGCATTTGGGGGAAAAGAAAGGATTAGATAAAATGATTTCTTCTCATGCACCATTGTGGGCAGGAGTTCATATATTAGTCAGAAACCATTTTTAACAGGGAATCAAGTGAACCAGGAGGGATTTAT